CCATGGTGCTATTTCTTCTAGTTTCAGCTTCCATTTAGAACATTTAGAAGACTAGGAACCTGTAATTAGCAAAATGTTTAGTTTGGCCGTTTGTATTAGAATTAAGATTGTCAGATTTCCTGAAGTTCAATCTCCTAATTTTTGTGGATTTTTCACCCATTTTAATTGATTGACATGTTGTTTATTTTGGAATATAAATACATGAAAGCTCCTTTTCTCATTCATTCCTAATGACCGGCAGTATATTGTGCCATGTCCGCCAAACCAAACCAAAAGAAATACATCCAAACATAGAACATTTATCTATGAGGTTTAAGAGCTTTTGGGCTGTGTTCCTCTCTAATCTAATTATTTAATTAGTATATTTTAAAATGTGTGTAAAGAAAAAATAAGATTTATTCTGAGGTGAAAGTACGTATATATTTGGATTCTGAGGGCTTATATATGAAGTGCTGTGAAGCATGGAATTGGTAGCACTCTAAATATGGAAGGAAAGGGAAGGGACTTGAATGAAATCCACACACCCAAACCCCTGTTTTCACCTAATTTCGTCCACTTCAAAATACCCCTGGAACCTTCCAAAGGTAGCACCTAGGTTTTCTCCAGCTCCCATAGGGTTTGACCATTGTTGAACTCAGAATGGTTTTTGTATTAAAATATCTTATAACAAAAATTTGCTTTATCCAAATTATTTGAAATTTAGATTGGTGGTGCTTTTCAATGTTCAGGTGGTCTTCTGGAAAAACTCTCCATATAGTATAATAGAAGAGATTTAAACAGAATTCAAGAGTAGTTCAATATTACGGGAAGAGCTGGACCTGTTATGGTACTACCTTTCTGTGGAGGAAACCTTATTCTCTGATGCATCCACGTGTTTCTAGAGCTGCCAGATATGTGTCCCCAGAGCTGAATTGCAAGGGCAACAAGCATATTGGCTGGGTTCACGTGACATGAGAAAGCATTGTGGGTAATAAGCCACACTGGGTTGTCATATTTTGAAAACCTGGACTGTTTTCCACAGAAAGGCTTGATTGCGGGCAACAAGCCACTCTGACAAATTGTGGCTTGTGGTTGGGTTATTGTACCCTTGAAGGTACCCTTGATGTATAATTTGAACCTCATTGTGAATACCAGGGACCAGAGAACAAGCTTCTTGGGCACAGCAGTAAAAATCCCTTCCTGCTTTGCTAAGCTCACCTGCGTCAATGATGCTAAAACAGCATTTTGGGTCATCTGGCCTCATCTCTATGTACCCCATCCCTGCATTGTGATCATAAGCCCTTTTGTCCACATTGGTGCTTTTCCCCTTTCACCCATTTTTTCCCCAGAAATAGTGAAAAGTGATTTCTGATTTGACAGCTAGTGACAACCCCTTCAGAGTGCCCAAGCAACACAATGGAGGGGACCTACTGCTTGGCCACCTGTTAAAAAAAATAAGTTGGTACTCCAAATGTGTGCAGATTTTTTCATCTTGGGACGTAGGCAGACATGAATGCATATAAGCAAATGGCTTACACTTTTCTACCTTTCTGAACAGTGAGATTCTTGGGAAAGAGTGGAAAGTGAGAGGACCCTCAGAGGAGGCAGATCCAAAAGAAGAACAATCACCATAGAGGATCTTGCTGCAGTGGGGATGTTTGACTAGCTATTCCCTTTTCATGAGTAAAGATCACGCCTGGCTTTGGTTTCTTCTGACAGCTCACCTTTTGATAGCTGTCGAGACAACCCAAAGCAGAAGAATAAAGCTAGCTTGCTTGCTTGCTTGTTTGAGGTCTACCAGCCATTGAGAACCCCTCCAGTGTGCCTTTTGGGCACTTTAAAGCAGCTGTCACTAGCTGTCAACTCCGATACCACTTTTTGCAATTTTCAAAATAAGGAAAAAAATGGGCACGGGGGGCAAAAAGGCTGGAGCAAGTGCAAACAGGCTTGTAGTCATGGTAGAGAGAGGGGTAAAAAGTCAGTCCACTGTAGGGTCCCCTGGGATTACTATGGAATGAATGAAGGGGGAGCAGGGAAGGGGCAGACAACTTACAGGTACATCGTAGGTTGTATGTAGCACTAGCGACTCACCTTGGCTTATTGCCAGGGTGGGTTGTCACAATGGTAGGTGTGTCATGAGCAGAACTGGCTGGAGCCAGGGGTCAGACTAGATGGCCTAGGAGACCCCCTCTGACTTGCTGCATTTCTGTATTTCTATGATATGGCTGGGGAGTAGAAGGCAGTTGTCAAATGGAAACCTTCCTAAATACTAATCAGCCAATTCGTATGTGCAGGTAGGTCACAGTCAGGAATGGTATTCAGAGTCCCTATGTGCCTGTGCTACTCCTCATCTAGGGCAGTGATGGCGAACCTTTTAGAGACCAAGTGCCCAAACTGCAACCCAAAACCCACTTATTTATCGCAAAGTGCCAACACTGCAATAAAACCTGAATACTGAGGGTTTAGTTTAGAAAAAAACAACTCACAGCCAGTCCTAGCAAATATATATATATATCCTTGACAGTGCACTGACTGGCCATGCGAAGGTTTGGACGAGTTGCGGCTAATGACGCACAGCTTGTGACATCATCCCCTGGTGCTGCTACTCCTTTCCAAGCATGCGCATGGCCCCTATGTGCGCAGTTGTCCGATGCTCAGCTGCTGGGGCGATGCTGGGGTGACTTGGCTCGTATGCCCAGTGCAGCACACGTGCCATAGGTTCACCACCACTGATCTATGGAGATGAATGCAAAAGCTTGTGTCCACATGTAAAGCTGGACTGGGGCAAGAGCGCTTTGGTGTAATTTCACCAGTATCAAGATAGCCTGGGCCAATTCCTCAGCTGAAGTTGCTGCCCTATATTTATGAGAAGCATAATTTAACAATATCTGCCATGACTCTGGGAATACTATCAGACTTAACTGGAAAGAGAATATGGCATTAGATTTTTTGCATTTTTGGGTTCTTTCATCTGAAACTTCCATTGTAAGAATTGCTGCAGGCTGTCGTTTTTGTCTGCCATCCAGTGCACATTGGCAAGAGTGTTGTGTACTAGACTTTGTGTCTGGTCATAGAAGGAAAAAAAAGGGCTGCTGAGCCAGACTGTTTTGTTATTCCTTTAAAATTAAAAGCATATGAAACAGATGCGGCTTAATAAGTTTTTTTTATAAATAACATCAACTTAAATAACTTAAAACAATAAAGTTCAACTATAACTTAAAATAAAGTTTAATGCTGTAACAACAGAAAAAGCATGAATAACGGTGAAAAAAGTTAGAAGCCATATGCCCTAACAGGAATTATATAAAAAGATAGGTTATGTTACATAAAAACCCATATGATGTTGTCTGAATTTTTACTTCGTCGTTATATAAAAGAATATTTTGAGGAAAGTGAGATGAAGTACATTTCCCTTATTAATATTATTTTATATACAGTATTTTGTAACCTCTTTCAGAGCAGCATCAGGCATTCTTACTAATACATATGACTACATTGCAGTGGTGCAACCTTCATTTTCCATACTAGCTTTATTGTCTGAAAACCACAGTAATCCATTTTCAAATTGTTGTAATACTTATACTTTTTTCCTGGGAATTATTTAATACTGCTCAGCCTCCACTATTAGTACAGACTTAATTATCTGAAGACTCATTCCAGCAGCCATCAAGTCCAACTTATCTTACATAACATTTTATCTGCTTTATTATTATTATAGCAGCCATGTTTTAATTAAGCAGATAGGTTTATTTTAAATAAAATATCATCAGATAATCAAGTCATGATTGAACTCATAGGGGTAATTTAACTTAAGAATCTGCAAAGCTATCTTATACTAACATAAGGATTGAACAACTCTTTACAATTTTTTACAACTTTTAGTTACTAAATCTGATGTAGTGTATATCT